AGGTAGGTATATGTCACAGTCAGTTACCATGAAATAGGTAGGTATATGTCATAGTCAGTTACCATGAAACAGGTAGGTATATGTCATGGTCAGTTACCGTGAAATAGGTAGGTATATGTCACAGTCAGTTACCATGAAATAGGTAGGTATATGTACCGGTATGTCATGGTCAGTTACCTGGTAAAAACAACTCTTCTTGTGAGCTGATGTTATCTGCATGTAAAATGTAATGAAAAGATATTCTGAAGCAGTTGTTGGGTAATAGTTTTTTCATACCACAATATATAATAATATTTTAGAGGATGTGAATATATTTCTCCAGTCAAGATTTCATCTAAGCTTACCGGTATATTTTAACATAAATATGCTTTGCTGTTTTCAGAGGGGAAAGACAATGAAGGCTTTGAAATTCTTGATGAAACAAAGAAAACAAAGAAGAAGAAAAAGAAGTAAAATATTGTTTATTTCTGTATTGTTAATCATTCATGATTTCATTTTTGTCAATTCAAATTTTTCTTATTTTAAATGTTAAATGTCAGGCCTCTGTCTGAATATACCTGTATGTAAATTTGTACATGTAGAAACTCCATTGTAGCAATTTCATTTCTCAACAGATCATGATAAAACCTCCTAGTCTACCTGTTAGGTATGTCAGTAACTCAATGTAGAGGGATTTGCATTATTTACTAGCAGTATTATGACTTTTTGAACTTTCTTTTTCTCCAATATCCCAAAAATTAAATTATTATGAAAAATTATGATGTGCAATTCATTTATACATGTAAGACCTAATTGAATCTACTGGTCGACTCATGTTTAACTGTCACACTGCTGTTTTTGTTCTGGTAGAGATGACTCTGGTTTAACCTCACCTAAAGAGAAGTCGGTGACTATCTTAGAATTAGATCCCTCAGCACCTGTGAAGAAGAAGAAAAAGAAGAAGAAGCCCCCTGATACTGAAGATGAAATTGCAGCTACTGAAGAGGAGCCTCCCACACCCACCAAGACAAAGAAAAAGAAAAAGAAGGCTGCAGATGAGGATCGTCCTATGTCACCGGAGTCAGAGCCAGCCTCACCAAAGCCTGCTAAACGCAAGAAGAAAAAGAAGACAGATGAACAGGATGAAGAAGAACGGCCCCTTTCTCCACCTGAATCTGAACCTACCTCACCCAAAGCTGGCAAGAAGAAGAAGAAGAAAAAAGGACAGGAAACAGAAGAAGAAGAAGGAGCTATGTCACCAGCTGAGACAGGCTCACCAAAGCCAGAAAAGAAAAAGAAGAAAAAAGCGAAGAAGGAAACTGAAGAGGAAGAGGCTATGATATCACCACCTATGAGTGATGAGGAGCAAGCCACACCTAGTAAAGGCAAGAAGAAAAAGAAAAAGAAGAAGAAGGAAGAAGATGAAGTTCAGGTTAGTACACATTTACTGTCTAAGTCTCATTCCTACAGAAAATCAGACAATACAATCACTATCAGTACACTTTAATCTGTATTAATATTTTGATGATAAGATATTGCTTGATTTCTTTCATTCCTAAGTTTAGTATAACAGTATAAAACAGAAGTAAAAAGTTTGAGATTTTAAACGCCACAGGATAATATCAATGCCTGATATGAAGAAGGAGCTTTGTCATGAGATGGACTATAAGTATGTCATTGGTATGTTACAGGATGCTGAGGCTGAGGATGCAGATGCAGATGACGAGGAAACAGAGGCGAAGGAAGCGAAAAAAGTAAAGAAGAAGGCACCAGGTAGGTTTTACACGGAAAGTTCACATTTCAGAGTATCAAGGTCACCATTACTTTTTATACGCCTGTCGAAGACGGGGACGTATTATGTTATCACGCGGGCGGGCGGGCAAACGATGTCCGCTCGATATCTCGAGTAATTATTAACGGATTAACTTCAAACTTCACAACAAGGTTAATTACCATGAAACCTCGGACAAGTTCGATAACCGCCATTATCCGACCATAATTTGTGGAGTTATGCCCCTTTATGGACTTGCCGAAACAGTGTCCGCTCGATATCTCGAGTAATTATTAACGGATTAACTTCAAACTTCACAACAAGGTTAATTACCATGAAACCTCGGACAAGTTCGATAACCGCCATTATCCGACCATAATTACTGGAGTTATTACCCTTGGTTTCATTAATGCGATGCATGTGTTCCATGATGTTGTATTGCACTCATTGATCTACCAGTTATGTTGAATGATTTCTCTTTTAATATCAATTACTCACAAATGCTTCATATATTTCAATCATACAAACAACTGCTCATTCAATGTGTGACGGGCGTATTATATACCGCTCGCGGTAACCTTGTTATAGGAAGTGTTTGTTATCATACTTGCAACTTCGTATCGTAACAGACTTTGAGCAAACTTGATACAGTTTTAAAGAAGGAGAATACCTTGGTTATTTCAGGGTTTCAAGGTCAAGCTGAAGGTTGATGCTCATAAAATCATTATTACTCCAGGGACATCATTTCTTTTGGAATTTTAATTAAAATTTACAGAGAATTTAATGATGAGGATATCATAAATGAGATGTGAGATGCAAGGTATATGATCTATGACAGACAGCGTTGCATGTGAGGGAATTTGTATTACACTGCATTTGTATTACACTTTATTGGTATTACACTGTATTGGTATTACACTGTTTTTATGTCGATACATGTATTGATGAAAATAGTTTTGCAGACAAAAACTACAAAGACATTGTCATCAAAGAAGCTTTATCTAGTGAGATGGGATAGATTAGACATTATAATGAAAATATAATGCAAATTTATCATATTGTGATACAGGTGCTGGAATATTGACAGATAATACAAATTTATCATATTGAGATACAGGTGTTGGAATATTGACAGATAAAACAAATTTATCATATTGAGATACAGGTGCTGGAATATTGACAGATAATACAAATTCATCATATTGAGATACAGGTGCTGGAATATTGACCAACATTTTTTACTTCCCACAGTTGTGATAGAAGAGACAGAGGAACACCGTTTAGAGAGGGAGGCGATAGAGGATGAAGGCCAGATACTTGCCGTCACGGTCCACCGCACAGACAAACTTAAGAACGACTTCCATATCTTGCATCCAATGGTGCGTGTTCACATTGTCAATGAGGAGACGGGGCTGAATCTCACCAAACAAAAGAAGTAAGTCTCCTAGTATTAACTTCTCCGGTATTGTTCTCTGAAGCGATCCCATATTGTTTTAGAGTAGCTAAACTTTTAACAATTTTTAGCGATTACTTTGAACTCAAATATTTAAATGATCTAGTTTCATTACTTTCAAAATGTCACATCTCCTGTACATGGATATACCACTCTGTTTTGAAATTGTGATCAAAAACATGTTGTTTGTATGTTTACAGGGACCGAGCTGTGTCGACCTATTTTGAAACTCAAAATGATAATGTCACCCAAATTGTGCCAATAATGACCCAGCCTTTTGACTTCAAAGAGAGAAAGTAAGATGAATTTGCTTTGGTTAAATACATGTTTGAATTGTTTATATAAGTTGAATTTATCATAGCCCCAACTAAGTGGAGGGTTTATAGTATTTGCTTTGTCAGTGCATCTGAGTGTGCGTTCATAGAAAACAGCTTGTCTACAAGATTATTCATGAACCCCTCGACAGATGCAGTTCATATCTACCCCATAGTATGGTAATATCAAGTTCTACACTTAATGAGACTGTTTGTGGTCTTCATTGTAGGTTAACGGGTCAGCGATTGCACTTGACCATTTTTGAAGGTTAAAAGATTGTTTAGAAGATATTTCACAAACACCTCCATAGATTTAGTGTATATTTACACCATAGTGTGGTGATATTAAGTTCCACAACAGATTAGATTTTTTGTGGTCAGTGGTCAGTGGTCAAGGTTAAAGAGTTAAAGTTCAACACTGGACTATTTGTGGTAGTCAGGGTGGGGATGGGGGTAGTGTGAGTGTCTATGTGAGCCTCCACTCTTCTGGTATTTTATTATAAATGATTATTTTCAAAAAAAGTATTCAGTAAAGTTCAGCATACCCCAGTTGATGGATTTCTAAATGGAATTCACTAGTCCAGCCATAAAAGTAATCGAAATTCAAAAGAAGAGATGACCAGACAACATCAACTTGGGGGGGTCTCGGCAAATTCAAACAAGTATACATGTTGGGGCCCACTAGGTGGGCTGTGATTCGTCTGCTGGATAACCAAACTACTCGGTAGTGAAGTGGATGTACAAATTTCTAAATATACCCTCGGAGCACCGCTTTTTCTATTTAGGTATGTTTGGAATGTGTATGTTGTTCTGATGATGGCCGACCTAGTGGGCCGAAATTTTAAACTGGATTAAATTTGCCAGGACGCCCCATTTGATGTTGTCTGTATCAATTTGACACTTGTGTGATAAACTCCATATCAATTGTACGTTTTAATTTGATAATCTCCATATCATTTGAACACTAGTGTAATAAATACCATATCAATTTTATACTTGTTTGGTAAACTCCATATTGTGAAAACACTTATGTACATGTGGGTAATATCTTCATTTCATTTCCAGATCTGTGCTTCCAGTTTGGGAAGAGTTGCTGGTCTTCAATGAAAACTTCAATTACTTTACTCAGGACTACCCCAAAGTTATTGTATTTTTTGAGGTAAGGAATGCTAATGAGAACATTATAATTTAAATTATACAAAATGTATGCATAATAGGAGCAAAAGGTTACCAGTGCTATATATAGTAAACCATTACTGTATTCATGGAGGTAGCTTATCTAAGTCCGGGTTGTTTATACAGCAATCAACCATAATTTTCATTGGTATAATTTCTTAATACTGTCATGTCTTTTTATTGTATTTCAATTCAGGAACAACGTTGGCTGTACTTTAACTTTCCATTTTTTAACCATCAAATATGAGGCAAATTAAATGTAATGGGGATTACCATGCTACTGTAGTTATACGTGATGATTTTCACTGTGAGTAGAGAATTTAATACTGGGCTAATAAAGCAAATATTAACCCTTTCACCACTGTAGACCATAATGGACTCATCCAGATCAAAGTATTGAAAAGTTTACTAAAGTTACATAGGGGTGAAATGGTTGAGGGTGAATAAGTGGACTGGGGAACATTCAGGTATACAGTATGATTACATCCATGTATTTTGTCATAAGATAATACTCACTAATCACGATTCTGAAAACAGGCAGTTACGCTTTCTGGATTCTTACAGGTTAGACATACGTTCAGAATGTTGAAATGTTTGTATTTATTTGTTGTGTCTCCTGTTGTTAGATATTCCAATGCTATGTGCACATTTGTTTCTTCAGCTGTTGGACTTTGTAAGCATGAGCACAGCAAGTCGACAATATGAAGATAGTAAGAGTGAGGGTGGCTGGCACAGAATCGCCTGGGGATTTCTCAAGGTAACTTAAAAAGGGCACAAGCTCAAAAATTGTGACCAGGTTTTCAATATTTACAAAGTTAGTTCTGAATAATAAAATAAGTTGGTAAAAAAGTAATTTGTGATGAAGTGAATTATTGTATTTGACTGCAAATAAGCCCCCACCCCTAGTGTGTTTTTTTTTATAAAAGTCGGGAGGGGGCTTTAATATATTGCGAGTAGGAATTATATTTTCTTTGAAATGAAAAGGAAGTGAGTTTGTCAAATGTTCATCATTTCATTTGTTTTAAACTGCTCATCTATAAAACTAAATGCTGATAACATCTTGTTTCACATCTATGACTCCATGTTGTTGTTGACCTATGACCTTTACCCTGATGACATTTACCCTGTTAACAATCACTCTGATGACCTTTCTCCTGATACCCGTGTAGGTGAAGGGGATGAACGACAAATTGAATGTTGGCTCCAAGGTACGCCTCCAGTTGTTTGAACCAGTTTACAAATTCCGCCCAAAGCCAGACCAAGTGGAGGTAAACTCATTTGTTTTGTTTAAGCTTAAAAGCAACATCAAAAGCAGCCCTTGTGTATGAAAATGAGGAAGTGGCTGTGTTATTGTAGCCATATTAATTTCAGTTAACCTTCTATAACAGAACATTGAACTGGCTATGCCAAGTGTCACACCTCATTGATTATCACTTCTATTATTTAACACGTTACAAATGGTATTTGCTCTGTTTATGACTTGTAGAGTCTATCACATTGTAGAAATACTTGTGTAGTCTATCACATTGTAGAAATATTTATAGAGTCTATCACATTGTAGAAATACTTGTAGAGTCTATCACATTGTTGAAATACTTGTAAAGTCTATCAACAATGTGATAGACTCTACAAGTCTATCACATTGTAGAAATACTTGTAGAGTCTATCACATTGTTGAAATACTTGTAAAGTCTATCAAATTATAGAAATATTAGAGTCTAGTAGAGTCTTTAACATATAGAAATATTGTTAAGAGTTTATTTAGAGTTTGTTACATTTAAAAACATTAAACGATCATATATAGAAATATTAGTAGAGCCTATCACATTGTAGAAATACTAGGGGTACATTCGTGTATCTGGTTGAAACAGGTGAACTCGTTGAACCTGTAAAGAAAACGACAGGTACGGATCTGGAGGCTGACCTCAGGAAAATTTGGCACGTGTAGATTGAGGGGTTCAGACGCACCTGACCGAAACTAAAATGCTGACTATTGCCAGTTTGCGTTATTTCTTTTTAAAACAATGTCAAGTCACATGTAGTTTTTAAGATACGTTATGTAATTCAGTGGACGGATGAAAGAAGGTCATAATATTCTTGAAACACTGTTTTTTATTCTCCGAAACTGTGCATTTTAAGCTCTGCTTATAGAACGGCCCAAGTGCGTTCGTTTATGGTGGAAAATTTCTGCGCCACACGTACCGTTTCAACCGGGATACGCGAATGTAGCCTAGTACATGTAGAATCTATCACATTTAGAAATATTTGTATAGTCTTTCACATGTAGAAGTACATAACAAAGAAATGCATTTTGTATACATGTAAAAGGACTGTTCCTCATAGTAATCCCATAGTCACATTACATTAATAAGCTTCTTAGTCCTGATGCTTAATATCACAGCAACCATTATACTAAACCATGTATTCTAAGTAATTCCTCTTGTTGTTTTATAACTGTACCAGCTCTAGAGTTCCTCTTGTCTGATTATTTAACATTGACTTAACATATAATTTGTTCTGTACCAGCTGTGGCAGTGGTGGAAGACTCAGGGCCGACGTCCCTACCCATCCACACTCTACGTGACCATGAAGGGCATCACACCACCTGATACTGTGGAGCCAGCCATGCGATCCATGTTCGCCACACAGAGGGTAAATAAATAAAAGTAATTCACGTATTGAAATAACTGCCCTTTTCGTCCGTTGTTTTGACACTGCACTTTTCCACATTTATCATTACTTAATACTGTACAGCAGTTTTATTGAGATCAATAATATTGGTTTTATAGAGGTTTATCCATGGCATGGGTTTTGTATTGTATACAAGTGACTTCAGAAAGCAATGTATACTCTCCAAAAGACTTTTCGTTTATAAATCACTCGCTTAAAATATATAACATTGGTGGCATACCTGCCAACTCCACCTAATTAGGAGTGAGGCTCTCGATTTTGGACTCTTAAATTCAATATTTCCAACTTTTGAATTTGCTGAACTATTCCTATTTTCTCAGATCTAATTATTCCATCTGAAAGAACCACTCATTTTAAAGGGTTATTTTGTCTCTCATGTGTATATATATGTGGCAGATTTTAATAGTACATAGGTTTACGGTCGCCTTCTAGCTTCGCGCTAGAGGAAATTTCCCTTTAGCACAGTGGTAGAGCATCTAACTACGAACTCTAGGACGGCGGGTTCGATCCCCGGTTGAAGCACACTTCTCCCTTTCCTGTTACGTATACACAACTTTTGGTGCCAGGTAGTTTAACTACTAGTGTTGCAATTACATTGTGTTTCAGGAAGTGGGAAGCAGGACCTATGCAGATCTAAAGAAGAGTATTAATTGGTCAGATGCCAGGTAAGGTCATGTTTGCATTTTTGTAAGGGGCTCTTGACCTCACAGTGTACCATATATCTATACACAATATATACAGAGCTTGACCATACTCTGAAATTTTCCATATCAAGGGAAGTAACTCTGCTTTTTGGATTTTCACTTTACAGACTAGGTATTGTAAGCTTGATAAGGGCTGTTCCAAAGATACTGTATATGTATATATATAGCGATAAATAGTTTTAAATGTCCATGTGACGGCAAAAATATAAATTTTGAATTTATAGTTGAATTCTTACAATAAATAAAATCTATAGGTCAGGATTCTTGATCAAATTGACCTTATTTTAGATTTGAAATCTTAACTCAGAGATAAAAAGCATGTTATGCATCTTCAATAACATTCATCAGTTTGGAAATATGTAATATCAAAATTTAACTTTATACGCAAACAATGTACATAGTAAGTGTGTCGCAATGTTTCAAGACCGACTGGTCCCTTTGTCAAGCTATGACTGAGTGAGAGATTAGTATTGTTTACCTGTACAAATTGTTTACTTTGTCATAGTTTCATAAAGGGACCAGTCAGTTTTGAAACATTGCGACACATCTAATATGTACATTGATTGTGTATGAAGTAAACCTTTGCATGTTATGTTTTTCTTTTAATTATTTATTCCGTATCTTCTGTAATTTTCAGTTAGTTTTTTGATAATTTCTCATTTTAAGCACATTTTCAGATGTTAATTATTTTGCATGCCATGTTCCATATTTTAGACATCGTCTCTGAGATAATATACCTGTGTATTATCTCGGTAAAATACCTGTGTATTATCTCGTTTATATACCTGTGTATTATCTCGTTAATATACCTGTGTATTATCTCGTTAAAATACCTGTGTATTATCTCGTTAATATACCTGTGTATTATCTCGCTATAAGTTCTACCTTCCCAATGTACTATTGACTCTCTACATAAATGTATTCTGCTTTTGTTCCCTCAGGAAAAAGAGGTAGGTTGATATATGACATGTTTCTCCCTGTGTACATAGACAATATACTTCTTAGTAGTGGAATGTTGCTAGTGGAAGGCTTACCAAATTCAAGAAGCATTTGTATATTATTGATTAAGTGTTTTCTGTTGAAGCGTAGATGAAACAGTAAAAGAATATACATTAAAAAACAATGTGTTTGATTCCCTACATTGATAAACACTTTGTGATTGATCCCTGTTTTGGTCCTCACAGATAACATTATAACCTTTACCAATTTGATCTAATATTAAGTGATTTTCCACAAGTGAAGTTTGATCTATGTCACATTTTAGCAAATTCCTGTCCTCTATCTCTAAACATACTTACAGTCTGTGGCATCATCTACAATGGTCAGATGTACCTTCTGTCTAAATATACTCCCTGTTCATGACAACAAATACCAGTGGTCAGATGTACCTTCTGTCTGAACAATACTCCCTGTCCATGATAACATCAGCATCCAGTGGTCAGATGTACGTTCTTTCTAAAAATACTCCCTGTCCATGACAACATAAGCCTCCAGCGATAAGATGTATCTTCTGTCTAAATATACTCCCTGTCCATGACAACATCAGCCACTAGTGGTCAAATGTACCTTCTGTCTTAATATACTCCCTGTTCATGACAACATCAGCCTCCAGTGGTCAGATGTACCTTCTGTCTAAACATACTCCTTGTTCATGACAACATCAGCCTCTAGTGATCAGATGTACCTTCTGTCTAAATATACTCCCTGTCCATGATAACATCAGCATCCAGTGGTCTGATGTACCTTCTGTCTAAACATACTCCCTGTTCATGATAACATCAGCCTCTACAGTGGTCAGATGTACCTTCTGTCTAAACATACTCCCTGTTCATGATAACATCACCCTCCAGTGGTCAGATGTACCTTCTGTCTAAACATACTCCCTGTCCATGACAACATCACCCTCCAGTGGTCAGATGTACCTTCTGTCTAAACATACTCCCTGTTCATGACAACATCACCCTCCAGTGATCAGATGTACCTTCTGTCTAAACATACTCCCTGTCCATGATAACATCACCCTCCAGTGGTCAGATGTACCTTCTGTCTAAACATATTCCCTGTCCATGATAACATCACCCTCCAGTGGTCAGATGTACCTTCTGTCTAAATATACTCCCTGTCCATGATAACATCACCCTCCAGTGGTCAGATGTACCTTCTGTCTAAACATACTCCCTGTCCATGATAACATCACCCTCCAGTGGTCAGATGTACCTTCTGTCTAAATATACTCCCTGTCCATGATAACATCACCCTCCAGTGGTCAGATGTACCTTCTGTCTAAACATACTCCCTGTCCATGATAACATCACCCTCCAGTGGTCAGATGTACCTTCTGTCTAAACATACTCCCTGTCCATGATAACATCACCCTCCAGTGGTCAGATGTACCTTCTGTCTAAACATACTCCCTGTCCATGATAACATCACCCTCCAGTGGTCAGATGTACCTTCTGTCTAAACATACTCCCTGTTCATGACAACATCAGCCTCCAGTGGTCTGATGTACCTTCTGTCTAAATATACTCCCTGTCCATGATAACATCAGCATCCAGTGGTCAGATGTACCTTCTGTCTAAACAATATTCCCTGTCCATGACAACATCACCCTCCAGTGGTCAGATGTACCTTCTGTCTAAACATACTCCCTGTTCATGACAACATCACCCTCCAGTGATCAGATGTACCTTCTGTCTAAACATACTCCCTGTCCATGATAACATCAGCATCCAGTGGTCAGATGTACCTTCTGTCTGAACAATACTCCCTGTCCATGACAACATCAGCCTCCAGTGGTCAGATGTACCTTCTGTCTAAATATACGGTCTCCAGTGGTCAGATATGTCTTCCGTCTATATAAATTCCCTGTCATCACTATCATCTGTCTCCAGTGGTCAGATATGTCTTCCGTCTATATAAACTCCCTGTCCACAATATCATCTGTCTCCAGTGGTCAGATATGTCTTCCGTCCATATAAACTCCCTGTCCACTATATCATGTCTCCAGTGGTCAGATATGTCTTCCGTCTATATAAACTCCCTGTCCACTATATCATCTGTCTCCAGTGGTCAGATATGTCTTCCGTCTATAAAAACTCCCTGTCCACAATATCATCTGTCTCCAGTGGTCAGATATGTCTTCCGTCTATATAAACTCCCTGTCCACAATATCATCTGTCTCCAGTGATCAGATATGTCTTCCGTCTATATAAACTCCCTGTCCACAATATCATCTGTTTCCAGTGGTCAGATATGTCTTCCGTCTACATAAACTCCCTGTCCACAATATCATCTGCCTCCAGTGATCAGATATGTCTTCCATATAAATAAACTCCCTGTCTACAATATCATCTGCCTCCAGTGATCAGATATGTCTTCCGTCTATATAAATTCCCTGTCCACAATATCATCTGCCTCCAGTGGTCAGATATGTCTTCAGTCTAAATAAACTCCCTGTCCACAATATCATCTGTCTCCAGTGGTCAGATGTAACCTATAACAAGTCTTGTAAGATCACTCTCACCTCTACAGCTTGCTATATTGGATAATAATGTCTTCCTATATGTGATGGTTTTTGCCATCCCTGCCATGTTTCAAAAAATAGTTTCTCTTTGCATCTTATTTCTTTACAATGAAATATATTAGTTAGACAGGATTTTTTTCAGAGCAAACTACTTCTACCAATTTAGTTTCTTAAATTTCATGTACCAGTACATTTTAGTTGGTAATTTTCAACATTTCTTTTGTTTTATTTTTCTACTAGTGCTTGACACTAGGATGATACTTAAGCATATAGATAATTGTTATTTAGTTAAATAGTTGATTATGGCAGCATAGGACTAAAATAGACCTCTGTTTCACAATGGGAAATCTTTATACATGTCAACAGAGAGTAGAAATAAGCAAGAAAATGGGAAAAAATAGCTGACGTAGGAACAAACACAAATCCACAATGCTAGGCGTTTTCTACTGGAAATTTGTGACAGCGCTTATCTTTTAAATCTTTCACTGAAATATTTGTCTACGGCAGCACTATTTTTGGTCAATACTGCTTCAAAAACATGATAAACAGGTATAAATATATGTAGTAGCATTGAAAATGTTGCTTTACATATGTTTCAGTCTGTTAAAACTGGTGTTCAGTACTGTGTATGCAGTTATTTAAGCCTTTACAATCATTATTCAATGTAGCCAGTGTAAAGGCGAGGACTTGTAGCATGTTAATAGGGGAACTTGTGGGGTTTTGTGGGCCTGCATGATGTAGATTTCTGAAAAAATTATAGAAATGATGTAGATTTCTGAAAAAGTTACAGATGTGATGTAGATTTCTTAAAAAATTATAGATATGATGTAGATTTCTGAAAAAATTATAGAAATGATGTAGATTTCTGAAAAAATTATAGAAATGATGTAGATTTCTGAAAAAGTTACAGATGTGATGTAGATTTCTTAAAAAATTATAGATATGATGTAGATTTCTGAAAAAATTATAGAAATGATGTAGATTTCTGAAAAAATTATAGAAATGATGTAGATTTCTGAAAAAGTTACAGATGTGATGTAGATTTCTTAAAAAATTATAGATATGATGTAGATTTCTGAAAAAATTATAGAAATGATGTAGATTTCTGAAAAAATTATAGAAATGATGTAGATTTCTGAAAAAGTTACAGATGTGATGTAGATTTCTTAAAAAATTATAGATATGATGTAGATTTCTGAAAAAATTATAGAAATGATGTAGATTTCTGAAAAAATTATAGAAATGATGTAGATTTCTGAAAAAGTTACAGATGTGATGTAGATTTCTTAAAAAATTATAGATATGATGTAGATTTCTGAAAAAATTATAGAAATGATGTAGATTTCTGAAAAAATTATAGAAATGATGTAGATTTCTGAAAAAGTTACAGATGTGATGTAGATTTCTTAAAAAATTATAGATATGATGTAGATTTCTGAAAAAATTATAGAAATGATGTAGATTTCTGAAAAAATTATAGAAATGATGTAGATTTCTGAAAAAGTTACAGATGTGATGTAGATTTCTTAAAAAATTATAGATATGATGTAGATTTCTGAAAAAATTATAGAAATGATGTAGATTTCTGAAAAAATTATAGAAATGATGTAGATTTCTGAAAAAGTTACAGATGTGATGTAGATTTCTTAAAAAATTATAGATATGATGTAGATTTCTGAAAAAATTATAGAAATGATGTAGATTTCTGAAAAAAGTTAAATTTATGATGCAGATTCTGATAAATTTATAGATATAATGTAGATTTCTGAAAAAGTTGAAGATATTCAGATTCTGAAAAAATTATAGATGTGATGTAGATTTCTGAAAAAAGTTATAGATATGATGAAGATTTCTGAAAAAGTTAAATATATGATGCAGATTCCGATAAATTTATAGATATAATGTAGATTTCTGAAAAAGTTGAAGATATTCAGATTCTGAAAAAATTATAGATGTGATGTAGATTTCTGAAAAAAGTTATAGATATGATGAAGATTTCTGAAAAAGTTAAATATATGATGCAGATTCCGATAAATTTATAGATATAATGTAGATTTCTGAAAAAGTTGAAGATATTCAGATTCTGAAAAAATTATAGATGTGATGTAGATTTCTGAAAAAAGTTAAAGATATGATGTAGATCTCTGAAAAATATATAGATATAATGTAGATTTCAGAAAAAATTATAGATGTGATGTAGATTTCTCAAAAAAAATATAGATATGATGTAAATTTCTGAAAAAGTTACAGATATAATGTAGATATTTGAAAAAGTTAAACAAAATGTAGATTTCTGAAAAAGTTATAGATATGATGTTTATTTCTGAAAAAATATAGATAGATGTAGTTTTCTGAAAATGTCATAGATATGTTGTAGATTTCTGAAAAAGTTATAGATAAGATGTATATTTCTGTCTGAGTAAGATAAAAGTGAAATACAGCATGGTGAATTACTACCTTGAACATGCATGTTATCCCGGTACAAATATTGTATTGCTATGCATGCAGCATGGTGGTTCAGTATTATGGAGCTGTATTGCATCTAGTTACTTGTATTTTAATCTTACTCTGTATATGTCTGAGCTTGAGAAATGAGATCTCATGTATCATGAAAATGATGGATAAAAGAACCATTTAAAAAAAATCTTGTCAGTTATATAATACAAGGTAATGTTTAACTGAAATTTTTAAAATATTAAAAATGTAAAATTGCCATATAAATACATTTTAAATATTTAAAATTTAACAAATTTACAGAGAAAAAAAAAAGATAAAAAATTTGACTTTCTTTGATTTACATGTTTAATCAGTCTATAATTCTACTGGCCTTGCTTTATGAGGCATATTTTTTCCCCATTTAACCCCCGGGGTAACTTCAATTTTCCCATAGGGAAACTTCTCAAAAGAACTATATAAGTTAAGAAAACATCTTGAACAAAAGCTAAGGATTGTTTTAGAAATTTGGGCAATAAATGGTGCATTTTTATCATTTAGCATTTAATATATAATTTACACTCAATTTGTCTTGCAATTTAAACATATAATTGGTGTTGAGAATTGGGTAAATTTGTCCAAATGTGAATAACAAAAAAATTGAAATGTCTTTAAATTTCAGTGCTGTATGTCATAGTGATTTTTCAGGTATTACAGACATGGCTGTAATATGTTGGCATATTTAAAGAAAATAAAAAAAAATAAACAAAATGGTGTACTTTTTTAACAGCATTTGTTACAATAATTTGTTGGAAACATGAATTTTTGGGGGGGAAAAATTGTGAAGTTTATGGAAAATACTTTTTTGTTTACTAACACAGAGACACAGATAGGAAGACGCTTTCCTCGTGGTCGAGGTTGGTCGGTCAGATGTGTCGTATCCCTAACCAGATGAAGCTGACACTACCTGCTGGCAGGAAGGGGTGTTACGTGGTGAAGTTCTCACACGATGGAAGGTAAGCGTTGGGAGGTTGTACCATTATGTCAGGAGTCCTTTCACATAGTTAACTCATTCACACCTACCGACACATTTGAACTCTTCCAATTCAAATGTTGGAATAGTTCATTATGAAATTTTAGGGGTGAATGAGTTAATTGTTGACCTGTAATGATTTACTGTACAGAGTATCAATCCCTGGTATGAAATTTTGTGGTTTATGCTGAAGGACTGATTTGTGGGGATAATATATTCATGGAATTTGCATTTTCAAACAAACTTTTTATATATCATCATTTAATACAGTAAGTAACAAGATATAATGAACCAATGTTCATACTTGCCAACTCTCCCTATTTAGGACGGAGACTCCTGAATTTGGACGCTAAAACTCAGTAATCCAACCAGTGACTCCGCCTAACTATTCCTATATTCTACGGTCTAATGATTTCAACTGAAAGTACAGCTAAAAAATATGTCATTTTAAAGAGTAAATACATCATGTACACACATTTTATTTAGTTTTAATTTTGAGCGTGCAGAATCTCCCCATTGGAAATTTTAAAAAGTTGGCAAGTACGAATGTTTAGTGTAGACTCATATACATGTACCTTATCTTTACAAAACGTATCTATGATCACGGATGAGGAAGATGTCATAACTAAAAAGGTTTAAATCACGCAAACTGTCTTGACATCAAAGATGCCTAGTTAAGGGGTTGTATAAAATATCAGCTGAGCTTGATAATTGTGCCTCCAGAAATATGCATGATGAATATGTAAAGAAAGCAATATCAAATCTTGAAAAAAGCATTTAAATGAAATTTATGGCTAGGATTACTTTATCACTGGCTTCGTATCTTACCTGGAAATACCAAGACATACAAATATTAAATCATTCGAATTCACCCCTACATTTTCAAACTGTACTTGTCCAGTCTTTGATATGGTAAGGTTCAAATGTGACTTTAGGGGGTGAATGGGTTAAATGTGTATTGAAAACCTGTGTATAGTAACTGTAGTACCTTCACACTGACTAGAGTACTGCAGTTAACAATACATTTATCTGTCTCAGATTGTGATCATTATTGACTTATGTTTATATATACGTTTAATTTCTATTACTACATATTAGGTTTTTTCAATGGCCTGGACAGAGCTTTTGTTTACTTCAAATATTTACGTAGTTAGTATTTCTTTAAACATTTAAATGCATGAAACAACATCCCAGAAAAAGTCTTTTCTTCTTTTACAGTTTAATTAACACTTTGTGTGTTATTGTATTTCAGAAATTTAGCATGTGCTTGTCACGACCGAGAAAACTATCCAATTCTAGTCTATGAGGTTTGTATTCTTTCGTTTGTCATTTTTCCAAATTAAAAATAAACATATCCAGGCAAATATAAGCAACATAAATAAGGAAAAAGTTTGACTCAAATGAATGTTTTTTTCACTAAAAGTTTGACTATTGTGTTTTATGTGTATAACTGTTTTCTGTATCATTGTAGATCCCATCAGGTCAGCTGCTGGGCAAGTTCAGAGGTCATTTTGGAATTGTGTATGACCTTTCATGGTCTAAGAAGGATGATTACATATGTTCTGCCTCATCTGATGGCACAGTCAGGTAGGTAACGTTCCTGACCACACAGTGTAGCATAGGCCGCATTCGTTTATCGCGATCCAAACGGTTGGACCAGTGTTGTTCGTTAATGAAATAAGGTCGGACCTAGTAATCTGATGCTGCTGATAGGCAAGCCTTGACAAAGCCATGCAAGACATGCATAAATATTCGTAGGTCCGCCAGGATTTATACCCGAAAATGGTACATTTATAAACGGACAAACTGGTTGAACCGGATATGTGAAAGGGGCCTAACTGACCTTTAAACACTACGTATATACATATACTGTCAGATTGACAACTAAGGAGATCTTAAGATTAAAAATACCAAGTCTATTACATACACAGAGTTTGTGCACGCCATCTGTCCTCACTATGTACGGGTGAAGTAGGTATACAAACTGGGAGAAGAGGAAGTAAACCTCAGCTTCTGTGAGAGACGGGAGATAACTTTACTGATAACAATGATTTACTATACACTAAAGAGAAGTTGTCTCCCTTCAACCAAATTACACCTGTTAAACATAAGCTATGCAATATAAGATATTTTTAAAGAATAATTTGTCGTCCTCTAGCAAAAAACATGATGTTTGTAGCTGACATTAGACTCTTGACTTAGTATTCTGAGTAAACAGACTGTCTATGTGAGTGCCATTGTAATTTTTGTGTTTCTGAAAGCCCCATGAAAAAAAATAGACAAAGAATTTTTACAGGCCTAACAGTTTCAGTAGTATGTTGACACAAAACAAAATAAAAGTAGATGAGTTTAGTCAACATTTGACTATTTTGAGTGCAGATTGGTGTTCCCTTACACAAAACACTGCTTCCAATCAAATTAAAGAGAAGGCCATGTATATTATAATTTCACTGTTGTGTATTGGTGTTCCTTACGACTGTAAAATAGTTAAAAAAGCAAGATAACAACCTGGTTGCAAAAGAAGTATGCTACTGAGCTATCTAGGTTATTCTAAAAACTATTAACGAACTATCCTAGGTTTTGTGAACCAGACTGTTTCTTTAGGATATAAACATGGTGATCAAATATTTCCTTTCCAGTAACTTATTCTTTCCTTCATTTGTTATTCTTTCCTTCATTTGTTTATCAGAGTGTGGAGTTTGGAGAACTTTAATACCTCAGAAAAGCTATTGCCCCATCCTGGCTTTGTGTACACAGCACAGTTCCACCCACGTGTGGATAACATCATTGCCACCGGTGGATACGACCAGGTGGTGCGGATCTGGGATGTGGATGTCGACAGTGTTCATGGACAGGTAGGACATTTCCAGTTCACATGCTTGGTAATAAGCCCCCCCCCCCTCCCCCAATTTATAAATGAGTGTCAGTTCTGAAAATAAGGCATTTCTGCTTGTCAACATTGGGAATAACCCCAGTGACCTGTATGTTACCCCGTTTTTTTTATTAACATTCACTCGGAGATAAACATTGGTAAAAGATAGTCTACCAGAATCGCCTGTTTCTATCTCTTATACTTACAACATTCAGGTACATGTAATACCATTTCATATTGTAAAAGATAGATGTCTGTCGACACATGTATGTTCATGCATGGAGAAAAAACTACAGCTGTCTTCATGTAAAACATAATACAATGTACTTTAGAGTGACCTATGCTTGTCTTTCAGGAATATCAGTCAAACCCGAGTTTGTATTTTGTTTATTTTGATGCATGGTCATGTAAATCACTTAGTAATATACACGGACAGCTTTCTCTGTAGGAATTTTCAATGTGCTTTGGTAACTACCAATCAATCGCAGTGCGGCCCTTCTTGCTATCTCTGAGCCACAGCCCATCTCTCATGTTTGGCACAGGGCTGAAAAACTATAATTAAAATCAGAAATTATAATTGATAACAATATTTAATAAACCGAGAAACAGAGATGGCAGTTGTATAGTCTCAGTCATGTAATGCCTGAATTAGCTTGCATTTCAACACACTTAATAAGTTCAGTTTATCATCATATATTCTGATACAGCTTTCCTTTGATGAGTCGAAGGTCAAGGTCATTGGAGATAAAGATGATGACATACAGATATATAACTGTTTAAATGGTGTATCATGAATAATTTACATATTTTTCATCTATAATTCTAGAAACTGACGCAAGAAAGATTTCTGACCGTGACGACTTGTTGAATTTTCCCGATTTTGTAATGGAATCGTTATCGAAATAACATTGTTTGTTTTCAGTTAAAACAAGAGATTGAGAACCACAGGGGCCATGTTAACTCTCTGTGTTTTGATGATGATGGTCAGAAGATGTACACAGCCGACAGTGTTGGCATTGTCCTTATCTGGAACGTGTACGTGACGGAGAAAGTCAGCCAGAAAGGTCAGTCAAACACAAAGTTTTCATCACATTTCAAAACTGTATATAGAAAAAAACTTTGATAATCTTATTTGATTAGAATATATCACAATAACAGATCGCTAAACTCCCAGAAATAAAGACAGATATGTCATACTGAGAAAGTTATTATCTGTATATATATATCTTCAAAAAATATGATGAAATAATCTTAACAATTGTTTTATTAAGTAAAATCAGAAAGAGTGTTCCTAAAAAGCTTCTGTGTTATATTGTAAGTTAATATTTGTATTCACAATGAATTTTGTTTTGCATAGTAGTCAATATATCTTTGTCCCTCATTTATATATGTACTGCTTGGATTTTAATAACAGGACACTCTGGTAAGCCAATGACCATCACGACTATATATATCAGATCTTGTGGTGGATATACTCCAGTTTTTTCTTTAGACTAGGAAAATTAAACATATTTAGATACTATAGTCACCACATTACAATATCTATGTTTGGAAAAAAAAATCACCACTAACACATTAAACTACAGTCAACTTCATATAATATACAATACCTGGGCCCGTATTCATAAAATCGCTCCCATGCTCAAGCTCAGATTTTGTGCTCAAGCCCAATTTCTTATTTCAGTAATAACTTAATAAAAATTTACATGTTGCCAATGATCTGGAAGAATTTTGGGCCGAATACCGTTACGGTTTTTAAACTTGATCTCGTGACATGATTTTTAACCATTGACAAGAAAGTAGGTTTGAGCACAGAATCCACGCTAGAGCACGAGAATGGCTTCATGAGTACGGGCCATGCCGATGTGTAACCATGGTATACAAAATAGACATGAACAGATTATAGCATCTCAGTGGTATCTCTAGTATGTCCATATGGGTCTCCTCATTCTGTGTTGTTCCCTAAGACACCTGTAGACAAGACTCTCTCATCGAAACTCAGTATGTGTCTCTTCACCTTCTGCTACTATCTAACACTGTTAGTAACCATTTTTTAAGGAATCTATTTTCTAGTCAACTGAAGAAGTCCCCTTCACTGATTAAAGGAAGGAATAGTCACTATCAGAGAGAAACATTACGCCTAGGACATGTACATGTTTACACCAAATTACATTTTGATTTTTTTTGTAAAATAATAATTTATATATGACATCAGTACGTAGATCTATTTTTCTTGTTATGAAATAGATATATTGCAATTAGAATCATTTCTAGATTAGTGCATGTCTTGTTATGATGGACATTTACTATGTAACTATGTAAGGTTCAAACAGTGTGTAAAGCTAGAAGGAATTATGGCTGGACACATGTAGATAACAGTGTGTGCTTATGCAATACTGACACATAAGGATCAAGCATGGTATGACACTATATCATATATTGTATATTCAGAAACTAAAAAAAAATTCTTTATTTGTCTGTCAGTTTATTTTGACCATTCCAGATAATATTTCAGATATGAGTTTATTTCAGGTTAGTGGAGGGGCATTTTCATAAATGATGTATGGATGGATGAATATATTGGAGGTTGGGGGAGGGGCATTTTCATAAATGATGTATGGATGGATGAATATATTGCAAGTTGGGGGAGGGGCATTTTCATAAATGATGTATGGATGGTAGGATTTTAAACGAATTTAAAAATATGCTGAGGCGAGGGTAAAAGAAAGTATATTTGTATCTGTATTTCAGGATGAATGGGAAAAATAATTGTTTGAAAACTCCAAAAATGTTGACATACTGTTACGCAATCTATAACAAGTTTTATTTACCCATTATTTTGAAATCCAGCTTCTGTTCTGTTCGAATAAAATGTACGATCTCTGTTTTCCTCATGTTATTGTCACCAACAAGAGGGATGTGTAGTCACACCTCACATATGGTCAAATATTGGTTAAAATATCATATTGGTTTTGATGGAATACATTTGTACCAAATATTAGAAGGGAGATAACTGCAACAGTAAACATATACAGACAGGCAATTCAACCTCACTCAAAGTGTGTAATTTTAAATCACGATCATTGAAGCTCAGACTTTTTGACTGAATGCTGATCCTATAGTTATACACTGGTATGGACAGGCTTACAGTGCCATGTTCCTTCTGTTTTAGGTTTTCTTAGAGATTGGATAAAGTATCAAGAACTGACTGATCCTGAAATGAAGGTAAAAATAAAAACACTTTTATCTTCACTGTATGAAATTTGTTTTTGTCTTAAATCTTCACTGTATGAAATTTGTTTTTGTCTTAAATAACAATGCAGGAAATGTTGGAGCATTACATATGTTGTATAAACCTTGACTTGGTGCAGTGTAGTTACACAATCATACTGTGTTGTATTCATGGTCCGGGCATTAGTATCATATATACATATGTAGTTTAAATTAAATGTAATCGGAGTATTTCATGGCTGTGTTTAATATGTACCATATGTAGATTTTTGTTTTTGTAAAAATATGACAATGACACAACTTAATACTCTCAATGCAGTAATGACAGCATATATTAAGTTTTCTAAAGTATTGAATTGTCCATTGTCATTGACTTGGTTCATGGTAAATAAGAACTGTTGACTAGTGCCTTTATGTGTAAAGACCCTTCCTCCATTCTTCGGTGAAGAGGATTGTAAACATAACCAAACGCATATCAGAAAGGTTTTTAATTCTCTGTAATAAATCTTTGTTATAACTGGGCTTTCTCTCGTTACAGGACGTTCCCATCAACTATATCCAGCTCCATCATAGTGGGCGTCGCCTTCTGGTTCATTGTCGGGACAACATCATCAGGATGGTAGACCTGCGCATGTATGTACATTGTCAGTTGTATTGGATGATACACTGTGAAGATCATCATATAAGGAAAATAACGAAATTCTTAGATATGAGTAAAATAAGAATATATGCAAGATTCATTTGCTGATGTTGTGACTTTTATCTATTACTGATGGTTGTTTATTGTTATTACAAGGGGAACCGTTATGATGATTTGCTCTCATTGGAGAGGGCAAACAAAGGCGAAAATTAAATTGCGGCAAAAAAATCCTGCTACCTTTTTATACAGTATTTTGATATGGCAACTTGTTTTGATATACAATAAAGTAAATTATATATGTACCAAACACATATTGATGAATCTTTTAAATTGATTGATACAATATGATGCGCAACAAAATCAATTAAAAATTAATATGTAAATATGTTGGTGACCTATTTCCTTAAAAGACAACGAGTGATGCAAAAGTACATTGGAGCATTGAACTTCCGGGAACAGATCCGGAGTTCCATCACCCCATGTGGGTCCTTTGTGTTCTCTGGGAGTGAAGATAACTACGCATATGCTTGGAACACGGACACTGGTGGGTATAACTCTATAGACTCAGTTTATCATGTGGAGAAATATACTCAACTAGACTCTGTCATGTTTGTAGGAACACTTGTGATTTAGTCCCGAAAATGGACAGAGTATGCATTTACAATGTCCCCATATTCAAAAGGACGTCATTTCTTTAAAAATGTCCTTGGTAACTATGGAAAAGGATCATGTTCAATTAAAAAAAGACCCCATTTATAACATATACAGTGCTGAAACTGGTGAATTAGCAGGTATACCTCTGTGATAAAACATGCAGGTTAAAATTTGTAATGTTGCAATAGTTGTCACATTAACAGATTTTTAATATTGTAGAAATATTGATAGGGAAAAGAGTGGTTTAGATATTCACTTGTGATTATATTATGGCCACCAGTATGTGTTATAACAGTAGTTGTAATGATCTGAGAGCATTATGTGTTATAACAGTAGTTGTTAGGATCTGAGAACATTATGTGTTATAACAGTAGTTGTAATGATCTGAGAACATTATGTGTTATAACAATAGTTGTAACGATCTGAGAACATTATGTGTTATAACAGTAGTTGTAAGGATCTGAGAACATTATGTGTTATAACAGTAGTTGTAACGATCTGAGAACATTACGTGTTGATGTTACAGGGGACCAGGTGGCTATGTACTCGGAGCTGAACTACCGACATCCTGTGACAGATATTGACTACCATCCTCGTGACCACATGTACGCAGCATGTTCTTTGGGAGACAACCAGCCCATTGTTGTGTATGACTATGATCCATATGGTGAGTTTTCATGTAGCTTAAGGATCCCTGTCCCACTGCACTACCATTGTTATGCCCCCGCCATATGGGGGGGGGGGGGGCCATATAGTGTCCTGTATGGCCCGTCGCGTCCTGCCCGACGCGTCCTGTCAAACATCAAACACTAAAACTAATTTCACATGGTGACAGGGGCATTCATGTCTTATAGATATTTTCTAGTTTCTGTATACAGTAACCTCCCCTTAACTTCCGTTTGGCTATTACTTTTAGCCGTTTAGCACATTTGGGCTAGTACAACTGCATTGACCAGGTAGCTCAATCAGTCACAGAGGAAGTCTAACAACTTGAAGTCCAGGGTTTGAATACCGGTCTAGCCCCACTGAAAGTTTTACACCGAGAACGTTCTTGTTGATTACATTTTGTTAATTTTATCTTCATGATTTTTGATTGAAGTCCAGCAAGGTATGGTTTTCTTTCAGAACTGATTTATATGGTTATAGTGGTGCTGGGAAAAACAGTTGCCAATACTTAGTTACAGTTTTTGGCCATTTTACAGGGATCCTTAAGGGAAGCTTATTAACAGATACGATATTGTATATATACCCTGATTTTGCAGTAATATTTTCGTGTTTGTGCAGAAAAAATGTTTAAATTGTGATACATTGAATTTGCGATTTTGGAGAGTATTTAGAGAGTAGTATCTAAAACTGTTTAGAATCGTGTTGAGTTGATGGCTTCCTATATATTGTATCTGATACAAAACACTGCTTATATACTTTGCATGAAACTTAAGTAGGAGGACATTCCTTGTTGCGATAATTATCAACATTTAATCTATCCCTTTGTTACTGAAGGTATCCTTTGGATTTTTGTTTTTGTTTAGGGTTTTGAGATGTACAATCTCAGACTAAGAATGTGGAAATAAATACTATATGTTGAATGGGGTGTTTTCTGTCTCTGTTGTAGTTGCCCAGATGGATGCAGGTCTGACCCCCAGACAGATCAAACCAGATCCAAAAGAGGAGTTTGACACCATGCCAATTACTACCCTGGGGTAAGTATTGCCTTGGTGATACATAAATACACACTATTATTTACTGCTGTTGTCATGGTAACTATTCTATTAAAGAGACTGGATAACAATACTGTCTATTCTGTAGAACATTTATGTTGTTGAATATCAACTTGTGCTATTATGAGTCGCTCACAGTTATAGGTGTTTGCTAACGTCTTATACTGTGTTATGTTGACAGGACCAGCACGATGAAGCCAGGGGATACACTGACTTCTACTGTCCTGAATAAAGACCAGTTTGAGGCTCACAGCACAGCCAGACTACAGAAAGTGATGAAGAAGCTCAACTCTGCCACGGTAATGTGTTATTGGCAATTCAACTTCGACTTGATAATGTCTGATTGTAATTTCAACTTACCCGTAAATTGATTTATTGTGAACTATCTCAACCACAGTAAAAGGTGATGTTAAATTCAGCTCAGTCAGATTAATGCTTAATACCTTATTTGTCATTTGTAACTAATGATGTTCTAACTCTGTTTCAGTCCCAGATGTTGTCTGGACCACTGGATCTTCCTGGAGTACCAGTTTCCTCCCCACGCCTAGCCCACACAGGGTTCCTGTCTCTCGACCAGTCAATGACCCCTAGGACTATGGTAGGTTACTCAGCATCTGTACCTTCAACTGATTCACGTAACCAATGGCTACTGGTTATACTGCATTGCTTGAAAAGTAACAGTTACAGTAAAGCAGTATCGTTTTCCTTGGCTGCTACACTGTTACCCCCTCTGAGAAATCTTATACCAAGACTTGGCCTGGTAAATCATGTGGGTCCTCCGTGTGTACCAATGCATCTTCCGTAACCACTGGGTACTGCCCTAGCAAGGTACCCCAGGGTCACAAAACTGGCATCAAATGTAATTTACGAGCAGGCACCCATCTGGCTACTGAAAATTCTTGTTGCTTATTATTGAGCAAGTCTCGGAGTCATTACTCATCACTGGAAAAGCTAATTTGCCAGTAAGACAATGTTTTCTTCATATTCCTTAGCTACAATGTCTTCTAGGGTATGTTAAGTTACATTACTCAGCGTTTGTTCTTTCAACCTTTTATTAACCCCTATCAGTTCCTTTAGCCAATCTATGACACTTAGGATCTGTTCCTTCAAGTGATCTATAGACCCCTAGGACTATGGTAAGTTACACGGCATTTGGCCCCTCAACCAATCCATGATCTTAGGACTAAGGTAGATTACTCAACTACTGTTCTTTTAACCTGTCCATGACCCTTATCGTTTGTAGAGTAATCTTTATGCCACTGTCTACCACCAGTGGGTGGCTCTCAGCCCCTCCCCTCCATGACCCTTATCGTTTGTAGAATAATCTTTATGCCACTGTCTACCACCAGTGACTGGCTCTAAGCCCTTCCCCCTTCCCTCCTTCCTCCCCCAGAGTCCCTCCAGTAACAATTGTTCAGAGTTATTTATACCCTGTCTTATTTACTTATCTATTTTCAGACAACTGGCCCCCAGGCTTTCAGTCCACATGCACCGAGGACAATGACAAGCATTATGCAGCAACAACAGTTTAGCTCACAGAAAATGTACATGAAGTCGTCTGACTCTGACTGGCGACCAGGCTTCCATGAAGGTAAAATCAAATTTGTCAACATTCTTTTGTGCAATACACTAATAATTTCTGACAGTAAACTTCATAATGCAGTCAATGTGTTGTTTTTCAATTACATTAGGACCTACCCATAGTGAATAAAACTTCAAGTCACTTTCCTAATTGAAAATTGCATAAAAATTATGTGCTTTAAATTTAATGCAGAAAACTAAAAACTAGCTGCTTGTTTTGAAAATTGTTTATGAAAGTAACATTTTAATAACTCGTTTTAAATTAGCGTTATTTTGTTTGATATGTAGGTGACTTCTTGGTGAATGGTAAACCAACATGCTAATGCATGAGTTACAACTTTCTTTTTGTGAATTTTGTCATTATTTTGTTTAAGTTGAGTTTAACAATTTTCTTCCTGTAAATATTATCTTCATTACTTTGTTTTAGTTGGACGTTCAGGAGCCAGAAGTTCTAGTCCGACGTTCATAGGAAGACCGCCTCAGATAGCTCTTACAGTAAGTTTTCTTGTTCAGTTGTCTCCCTTAGATCCACTAACCACATTAAATACATTTTAGGGTGAGTGACATGCAAAACACACCTTTCTATCATAGTTTATTATTTCTCATTTTACTGCATATCTGACATGTTGTTTTTCGATGTTTCTGTCTGGTCCGGGGTTAGGCCCGGGGTTAATATTGTCCCTTTATAAATAATTATATGCTGCAACCTTGTATTAGTCTGGGCATTTTGGTTTGGGAAATGTTCCTGGATAAGATTTTTTCAGAATAACAACTTGAATTTTGAATTTTTTAAAATATAAACATTTTGAAAGATTGTTTTCATAATTGCTGAAGTGCAGATTATGGCTTAAAATCTGTAAAATTTATACTCTTTTTACCAATTAAAATATAACTTTGTATTCATCCCAATCTTCGCTAACATTTCACTATTGTTGCCCCTTCTACTCTACAGTAATACATTGTTCAATTATTGCAGTATCTATTTTATATTACATGTCATTCCACTACCTGGATTGATGAGGTCCCACATTATAACAAGTCATTGTGTGTTTTAGGCCCAGGGAAATAAGGCCCAGTTCAGCTTCCAGGCCCCAGCAGGCAAGGCAGTACCAGGCTATGGTGTTGTAAGTATAGGGTTGAATGTCAGCCTGTTGTTTTTGGTACAAAGAGTTATACGTTGATTACCTGACAGCAAATGATCACAATAATATCAAATAGATAGTTTTGAAAAATCTGACTGTCTAATGATAAAAGTATTATGAGAATTTATTGTAGAGTTTTCATATGAGTTTTCTTGAGTTTAGAACTCAGATTAAAAAGAATAGTTCGACATCTAAAAACTTGTTTATACTAAGTTACAACAAGATATACTGTATTGATGTTTATTTTTGTGAAAGGTTCATATTTCACTCATTCTCGAAACTCCGGTGACTACATTGACTTATGTTCCCGACATCCCTGGAATATGTCACGACAAATTGAAGGCTTTGTATGCTCCACCTGATGTATGAAACAAGTTAATCTAGTTTGATTCTTTAATGTCCATGTACATGATAATACTGACAAGCTTTGAAGCGGATGTTGCTCCTCTATAATCGTTAAAGGATAGGTATAAGCAAAGCAATTGGTCAGTTTTTAGCTCACCTGCCCGAAGGCAACCAAAAGATCTAGGGTCATGATATTTGACCTGTACCATGGTGGGGTGGAAGGCTATCAAGTTTGTTCAAATGAATGACTTTAACCGACTTTCAAGGTCACAGGGGTCGAATGTGTGAAAATTTATAAACACCTTCTCAACAACCAAAAGTCCTAGGATCATGATATTTGGCCTGTAGCATGGTGGGGTGAAGGGCTATTAAGTTTGTTCAAAGTGGTCAAATGTTTTTAAATCTTTTAACAAGTTCTTTTGAATGACTTATAGTCATAAATGCTTAGATCACTTTTAAGGTAACAAGTGTGAGATTAAACCAGGTGAGTAATGCAGGCCCATTGGGCCTCTTGTTTTACCCGAAACCAATCAAATAGCTTACAGTGTGCCTCTGATGTTGTCATGACATATTCTAAGGGTGTAGAGAACGTTAGTGAGCATAACCCCAGGAATTTTGAGGATGACTTTCACAGTAAAATGAAGACACAAATAAAATATTTTTCATACCGACACAAAAACACCATTTTAATTTTGATCAGGTGAAGGCATTGTACGACTACCGTGCCCAGAGGTCAGATGAGCTGACAATATTCAAGAATGATGTGATCACTGTCCTATACAAAGACAATGAAAGCTGGTGGATGGGAGAGTTGCCCGACGGTCAGCAAGGATTCTTCCCGGCCAACTATGTCCTGGCGGAAGGTAACAACACCCCTCATGTTAACTTTTTCTTCCTTGTACAGCAGCCTGAAACTCCCAAATATCTGTTACAGTCCCTTTATTCTTATGTATCCTGTACTCTTAATTCTTCCTTCTGTGTAGCCTTTCTTCTTTGTCCTTCCTCTGTTTGTCCTTTACTCTTGTTCATCCTCTATGTGTCTTTTATCCTTTGTCTTCCTTCGTATGTCCTTTACTCTTCATCTGTCCTTCTGTGTAGCCTTTCCTCTTTTCCAGTCCTGCTGCATATTCTTTATTCTAAACAAATCTTGTATTTTTATAGAAGTATTATCATTAGATCTTTGTCTTGTTGATCAAATTTTAAATGTTCTGAACAGAACTTGAGTATATATTAAAACTTCAAGGCATTTATTTCATTTCAATAGTGAAGTATAAAAAGCCAGGATGTAAGCTATATATATGTTTGAATCACTCTTTCTGATTGGATATCTTGCCGGGGTCTATATTTCTATAGACCCAGCTCTGCCGGGGTCTATAAGAGCATGTGCGAGGGGAGATAACTCAAACTAGAATCTCTCTTCATAACAACAAAGATGGCGTCCGACACACACAAGCGTCGGAGGTTTGCAAATCATTCATCGGATAAAATAGCTTACAAGCAATCTAAAACAACAGCAAATTCAACGAAACAGACAATGAGGGGCCGCTAGGGTGCTTATTGTAAAGATGGTTGTGTTTTGTCCGAAATATTTCCGAACACTTTTCAAAAGAAGTCTGGTAGGTCTAGGGGCTATTTTGGTAGCAGTCAAGTTCAACACAAACGCACAAAGTGACTTATAATTTTGCAAGAAAAAATGTAATAAAAGTTGGCAGGGTGACAAATTCGTTATGTCTTGGTAAGGAGGGGTCCACTTTGGTCTTTATAGACTCGTCGCCTTTGGCTCGGGGTCTATAAATACCAGACGGGGTCTATGAGCCAGTAGACCCCTCCTAACCCAGAGATAACTAATAATATACCAGTATATAGTATATGTAGACTGTATATCTTTCTTTGTTTACACAGACGGAAATGACCAACTGTTTGACACACTTCCTTCTCCAGATCGGAGCAAGGGCAAGAAGAAGGTAATTATCTCCCTGTGTGGTAAATCTCTTAAGGCAGAGTCCCATCACTCTATGTTGTATCTCCAATGAAGAAGAGTTCCAATTTATTAAGCATTTTTCTGACTATGTTAATTTCCTTTTCTACTGTCCTGAGCATTTGCTCCCAACCGTTGAATTTAAATTGGGTAGATTATCCCCTGTGCTTACATTCATATTTGTTATTTTGATACTGTTTTGCAACATTAGTGAGAATAATTTCAAAATGTTCTGATTCCCTAAAAGGCCTGCAACCTATAATTGTATGAATATAGAGTTCGTTCAATTTTGTTTAACATCCTATTAACAGCTTAGGTCATTTAAGAATGTGTATGAATATAGAAAGCAATAGCATATGTCTTTGTATGAATATAGAGAGAAATATCATATATTTTAGAGGAAAAATCTTCCAATGTCTGTATGTGGTAAAACATTGGTGGGACTCTCTAACTGAACATCAATAGGGCTGTCTTTGACTAGAGTGCAAGATTTCTTATGAAAGGATTGATTATTGTTTTGTACTTACAACTTAAAATGTTTTTAAAACACTTATAAAAAACTCATATATAATAATATGTAGATGTAGAAGCATATAATAATTCCCCCCCCCCC